TATATTAAAAAAGGCAATATTTGATCAGGGCTAGAGCTTAGAAGGCAGGAAGGGATAGGAAAAAAGGATAAGGAGAATCAAAGGGAAGAAGTGAGAAAGAGTAAACAAAATGTGTATAAACAGTTCAACTGAAAATCAATTTGGTTTATAAACTTTCAATCAAATAACAATTAATTAAAAGAGAATGCTTGTTAATATTTTCTAGAAAAAGCTCAAGTATCTATGAGTGGATATACTGGTTTAGCAGTAATATAAAATTCAGATATTTAGGTAAACTTGATACATATGTAGCTATGAATGAAAATATATTCATTACCAAGCAAACTGTCTTTGTTATTTAGTGTTACTATAACAGAAACATTAGGAGGCACCTTGAACAGAGAGAGTTACTTTCTCACAGTTTAGGTGGCTAGATGTCCCAGTTAAGGGCACTAACTCTGCTGTTGTTGAGGTAGAACCATTGAGCTAGAAATAACCCATAACTGACCCTCCAGTGGGTTTTCAGAGGCAGTACAAGAGGAGACTACCCATCCGTCTCCCTTAGAGCAGCTGGTAGATTTGAACAGCATGCCTTTGAAGAGCAGCTTCTTACCACTAAGCCACCAGAGCTAGAGGAAGCTTTTTCTCTATTAGTTCTGGAGAAGAGTCCTTGTCTCTTTTTAGATTCTGTTCCTCAGTTCCTTGATTATCTTCATGTGGCCAGGAATCTAGCTTCCCAAATCTGCCTGCTTCTATGTATCTACATCATTGAAATAATAATGAAAATCCTGTCCTTACACCCATAAGTACTGCTACTAGTATTCACAACATACAATTCTAGGGATACAATATGATTCATAACAACTATTAAACCACAAAACTAGTGTATGTTAAACATGAATACAGGCATATGCAGAATTATTAGACTATCAACATAAAGAATATGCCTTTGAAAACAACAGAAAGAGCTGTATCTATAGTATTTTATCTCTTGGAAAAACAAACATGAAACACAGAAATTACTGACTTAAAAAAGCTGGAGGGTAAGTGACTTGAACGTCTGCTCCATTACCTTCTCCATGAAAAAATGTCATAATTTTAAAGGTTTTCTTTTTAAAAATAAGTAACAACACAGTCCTCAGTAAGGAGAGGGGACCAGATTGGGGTGGGGGCAATTACAGGGGGAGTGTACCAGCCAGCCCATGGGGGGTGTTGCCCTGCCCGGGGCAGGCTGTCCTTGGCACTCGGCTCAGGGCAAGCCGTCACGGCCCTCTGCCCAGGGCGGGCTGTCCTCGGCCCTCGGCTCGGGGTGAGCTGTCATGGCACTCAAGGTGGGCTCCCCAGTCTCCAGATTATCCCATCTAACCCCTGGGTAGGAAAAAAAAAATGCCTAGGGTATCCAGAGAATTTTATCTAGGCTACTTTCTGCCACCCTCTCCCCCAGTAAACCTGAAAGCAACACCCCCCCAGCCCCCCAAAAAAGAGGGCTGACTTGAACACAGGCCATACATGTGGCCTGGGGTTCCAGCAAGATTGTGTCTATAGGAAACACCAGGGAGACACACTCCTTAGAATAACTGGCAAGTCCACCACCAGTAAGGAATTGACAGAGAGCATGTACCCAAGATAAAGTCTTGAAGGCAAGAACTAGTAGGATAGGAGGATTAATGGAAATTAGAATTACAGGGAGGAAATAGGAAAAATGTGATTGCCTTATGGATATTGTACTAAATGTTATAAAACAAAACATGTGAATGATTGAAGAAAAACCAACATATTCTGTAAACCTATGTGTAAATAACAATTAAAAAATATTAAACGGGAAAAAAAGTAAGTAAATAAATAAAACTGGACGATTTTAAGTCTGTTCCCAGTTCTAGTTTCTGTTTTCATTCATCATAAGTAGTTATTTACTATTGCTACAATGATCTTGCTTCTTTTCCCTAATAGGCCCTGCAGAGTGTTTGTGTCTGGTGAGCATGGTTTTAGAAACAGGAACAAAACTCACCCGGGGTCGATTCTGACTCAGAGTGACCATACGTGGGTTAGAGTAGAAAGATGAAAGCTCTGTGAAGTTTTCAGGTTGTGTCTTCTCAGCACATCACCAGCCCTTTCTTACAAGGAATCCCCAGGAAGGTTTGAAAATTTTGTTAATTGCACAGCACTTAACCATGTGTGTCACCATACCAGAAAATCAGACTGAACCACTGTCACGCAGTCACATCTCACTTTAGTGACCCTGCAGGACAGAGTAGCACTGCCTGATGATAGGGGTTCTCAGAGTTGTAAATTTTTATAGAAGCAGAGTGATTCATTTTCCTTCTACAGAGCCGTGAATGGTTTTAAATGGTCAATTTGCGGGGGGTGGCAGGGGAGGTTAACAGGGAAATGCTTTAACAACATTACCAAAGCTACTAATTTATCATAAATTTTTACTCTCATTGCTGTCAAGTTAGAACCAACTCATAGCTAATGCTCCAGAAGGATGTCAGAGCCTTTATATTATGTTGCTGTTGTTGTTATGTGCCGTCGAGTTGCTTGCGACTCATAGCAACCCTAAGTACAACAGCCCTAAACTCTGCTCTGTCCTGGGCCAATCACACTGTCTCTGACACTCCCATCCCGACTATCCCAGTCACTGAATCAATCCACCTCATAGAGGGCTTCCCCTGCTGCACTGTCCCTCCACCCTCCCAAGCATGATGTCCTTCTCCAAGGACTGGTCGCTCCTCACAACATGTCCAAAGTATGTTAGACGGAGCCTCAGAATCTTTGCCTCCAAGGAGCCACCCGGTTTAACCCTTTCCAGGACAAATCTGTTTGTTTTCCTAGCAGTCCATGGTATTCTCAATAATCTTCTCCAGCACCACAGCTCAAAGGCATCAATTCTCCTTCTATCCTCCTTTGTCATTGTCCAACTATCTGATGCATAAGAAGTGATTGTGAAGACCATGGCCTGTATCAGACACACCTTAGTCTCAAAAGAGACACCATTGCTCTTCAGTACTTTGGAGAGGTCCCTAATAGCAGACTTTCCCATGGCAATGCACCTTTTAATTTCCTGGCTACTGGTGCCAAAAGTGTTGACTGTGGAGCCAAGCAAACTAAAGCTGTGTACAATCTCAATCTCTTCACCATCCATCCTGATGCTGTCAATTGGTCCAGTGGTGAGAATCTCTGGAAGAAGATGACACACTCCTGAACTACATGTTGTTGTTGTTGTTGCTATGTGCTGTCGAGTCATAACCAAGTTTTGCGACACCCAGACTGCTTAACTCTTGGATTTTGAATCTTACTCTTTTCCCAAGTGAGTTGTTCTTTTAATCTCCAGTCTTAAAGTTAATTTTGCTCAATCTGTTCCCTTCTCTACTTCTGTTTGGATACAATTCAATTAAGATAAGTTCCTATAAAGTTTCCTCTTACTTTAGCTTTATAAGTGTTATTATGGAAGATGACTGAACAGATCTTAGAAAAGCTTATGGAATCTAAACAACTAAATAGTTTACCTGAAAAGGTGTCCTAAATAAGAGTTTTATATAAAGCTTAAGAAAGTACTAGTTTAGTAAATTAAAAAACATTAAACGTACAAATAGAAAAGTTTCTCACATGAATGATCTGATGAGATGTTGTGCGGAACCAAAACAAAGTCATCCGTATCACAAGAAGAGTTCTTGCTACTAGAACTGGCAGAATCTTTGGACACTTGTAGATAGTTAGGAGGACCCAATGGTGGGGAAGATAAATTTTCTTCCTGCATAAGCTGTGCATCTGGAAGGGACTGAAATTAACAACAAAAAATTACACCTAGTCTAATAATAAAATTCAAGTCAGAATAGCTATTAGACTAAGTATTATTTCTCCCTCCCTCATAAAAAAAGTGGATAAAGTCTAAGCCAATCTAAAACTTAGGGAAGGAAAAACCTTTTTCGAAAGGCTTCCCTCAGAAAAGCAGTTTAAACACACATTATTACTTGTGTTTCTTCTTAAATATCTTAAAGGAACATTATCATCATGTCAATTCCCCAAGTCCTCAACTCATATGCTAGAAAACCAAATTGTTGTTGTTGTTGTTATGTGCCATCGAGTCGTTTGCGACCCATAGCGACCCTATACTAAATTAAAAAATGTTAATTACATTATCAAACAAAAAAATAACCAGGAACTTTAGATTAATATCCTACTAAAAAAAACCCTTTTAAATCTACAATGAAGAAAAAATTGCAAACTGGAAATGGGAGACTATATTATACAAAAGAGTAAAAAAATCAGAAAGATAATTACAATGAAGACTAGAAATTTAATCATACTCATAGAAAGGAAGGTTTGGAAAATCCTAAAAATGTGACTTTGTTTTGGTTAGGGGAAGGGGTTAGTTGTCTATAGGAAATAAGGTAGAAAGGTATATTTATGAAACAATTATGAAGCCAAAATTAGCAAAATATATTTTTTTACATTCACCAATTTCAAGGCACTAACAACTCTAATTGAATGTTTTGCTTTATGATTGTATCCAAAAACAATGAACATTATTACCTAATTGTGTTATAATTATATGGTTCAAACATTGTCTCCATTTAAGAAAAATTATTACGTAATGCTCTTTAAACAAACCTTAAGTACCTAGATTACTGCTACTGTTAAATGTTAGTATCAGGAAATCACTCTCAAAATTCTATATAAATTCTTGATGAGCTTTTATGACTCAAGGTAATAAGGGGTCAGTAAGGGCTCAAGCCACTGGGTATTCATCAGTCAAGAACATTTCATTTGTTAGATATTCTTTTTCTCCACAACTGTATTCTGAACAAATAAACCAGAGCTTCAAATTAGTTCATTTCTGTTAAGCTTTCTGCAGAAAATTAGCATTGCTACTCTGGGTATGCAGAATTAATCAAAAGTTTAGTTGAAAGTAAAAACCTCTGAAATAAGACAGTAAATAGAAGATTTCAAAGGGAAGCTAAAGAAAACAAAGCAAAGTATAACAACAAAATGTGTAAATACCTAGAGTTACCAAACAAAAAGGGAAAAACATATTCAGCATTTCTCAGGGTTCGAGATGCAATATTGAAAGACTAAAATAATGAATGATGCTGGAAATAAGTAGTTAGCCTGAAAATCCTACAAAGAAGTATTACTGTACCAGAAATAATTTGCCAAACTTGAATCACTTCAGGAAAAAGATTATGATTTAGAATCAATAGTACTGAAGGAAGAAGATCAAGCTACATTGAAGACATGGTAAAATACAAAGCTTCAAGAATGACAGAATACCAAATGACATTTTTCTGCAAACAGTTGGACCACAGGGTGTGCTCACTAGTCTATGTGAAGAAAGAACAACTGCCAACTGGCAGGGATCCATATTGGTTCCAATTCCAATTCCAAAGGTGATATATATAGTGCAGAAATTTTCTAACAATACCATGAAAAGGCATGTTAACTTACCTTTAAGCAAGTACTAAAAGCTGCTGTAAAAATAAATTGACAAATTGCCAGAAATTCAAGCAGGATTCAGAAGAGGATATAGAACAATAGATATCACTACTGATGCCAAATGAATCTCAGCTTAAAGCAGAGAATACTAGAAGGCTGTTTACATGTGATTTATTGACTATGTAAAAGCATTTGACAGTGTATATTATAATTATAGGAAAACACTAAAAAATGGGAATTTCTGAACACTTATTTGTGCTCATGCAGAAATAAACTATACATACATAGATTAAGATGAAGTTACACAGCAAGCAGAAAGATACTGCATGCTTCAAAATTACAAAAGATATGCATCATAGATTTATCCTTCCTCCATATCTTTTCAATCTCATTCTGAGACAATCAATCAAGAAGCTAGATGGTAAAAACAAGAATGTGGCATCAGGATTGAAGAAAGACTCATCAACAACCTGGGTTATGAACAACCTTGAATGCAAAAAGTGAAGACGACTTGAAACACAACAGAAGATCAAAGACTATAGTCTTCAATATAGATTACATCTCAACACGAAGAAAATTGAAATCTGTACCAATGGCCTAATAGTTAATTATAATCATAAATGCAAAAAAGACTGAACTTGTCAACTGGAGCCACAATCAACAGCACAGAAGATGTAATCAAGAAATAAAAATAAAACCAAACATGTTGCATTGGGCAAATCTACTGTGAGGGATTGAGAGAAGAATAAAGTCCATTTAAAGACTAAAGGTGCAACTGAACCAAGCCACGATATTTTCAGCTGCTTCCTATGTGTCTGAATGTAGGACAATGAATAAGGAAGACCAAGGAAGAACTGATGACAAAGAATGACAGTGTTGGTGAAACATATAGAATATACCACAGACTGCCTAAAAAACAAACCAATCTATATTGAAAAAGTGCAGACATGTTGTTTCTTAGAGGCAAGGATGGTAAGACTTTAACATGTTTTATTTGAAAATCCCAGTACCTAGAGAAGGACATCATACTGGTAAAACAGAAGGTGAACTAAGGAGAGGAAGACCCTAAATAGCGTAGTTTAGCACAGTGATGGCTTGAGCACGATGCTAAAATGGAATTTTAGGTTCAACAAACACAAAGTTGTTCTTGTTCTGGTGGTTAGGTGCTGTCGAGTACGATCCATTGCAACTCTAAGAAAATTAGATGTGAACCCTTTCCTATTCTGGGCAGTTCTCACACTTCTCGATAAACTAGAGCCATTACAATTCATCTTGTTGAGGGTCTTCCTCTCTTCTGCCGACCCTCCACTTTTTCGAGCATGATGTCCCTCTCCAATAGCTTTTTCCAGCAACATGCTTGAAGTATGTAAGATGAAGCTTTCTCATTTTTGCTTCCAAGGAGCACTCTAGCTATACTTTATCCAAAACATATGCATTTGGTTTTTTGGCTGTCCATCAGATATTCAGTACTCTTCAACAACACAGGTCAAGGGCATCAATTCTTCTGTCATTCATATTCATTGTCCAGCTCTCAGATGCATAAAAAATTACCGGAAAGCCTGAATCAGACATATCTTAGCCCTGAAACTGACATCACTCTTCCTCAGTAATTCGCACAGGTCCCTGAGTACAGACTTCTCCAGCATAATACATCTTCTGATGTCCTGACTGTTGGTACCAATGGTGCTGACTGGATCTAAGTAAGATGAAATAATTGACAACTTCAATCTTTTCTCTATCTAGTATGATGTTGCCTATTGGTCCAGTGGTAAGAATTTTTGTTTTCTTGATGCTGAGATGCAATCTATACTGAAGGCTGTATTCTTTGACCTTCTGTAACAAGCGCTTCAAGTCCTCCTCACTTACAGTAAACAAGGTTGAGTCAACTGCATAACTTCTCCTGATAGACTACACAGGAATCAATCTGACTAAATCTGTGGAAAGAATCACTGGAGAAGCTCGATATCAGTAGTCAAAATTAGATGGGTGGAAGGAAGGGTAGGTAAAAGAAAATGGAAAGATACGGTGTGAAAACAATGTATACGAACTTTGTAAGTAAACCAGTATAAAATAAAAATTGCATTAAAAAAACCAAACTAGACCAGGAGTGGACTGTGCAACAGACCATAAATTACTCATGTGCTAGTTCAAATTGAGGCCAAAGAATATTAAAGCAAGTCCATGAGAATAAAAATATGATCTTGAGTCTATTATACCTGAATTTTCAAATAATCTTAAAAATAGGTGTGAAGCATTGGACACCAATTATCAAAGACCAGATGAGATGTAGGATAACATCAAGGAGAGCAAAAGGTCTTTGTAAAGACAGAGGAGAAAAACCAAAATGGATGTCAGAAGAGACTATGAAAATTATACTAGAGCACTGAAAGGGAAAAGATGCTGAAGTAAAAGAGCTGAAAAGATTTCAAGAGCAGCTTGAGAAGACAGAGCAAAGTATAATGGAATGTGCAGAAAACTAGAACTGGAAAATAAGAAGCAAAAAACTCGCTATGCATTCTTGAGCTGAGAGAACTGAAAAACAAATTTAAGCCTTGTGTCACAATATTGAAAGATGCTATGGACAATATGTTGAATGATCCAGGAAGCATCAAAAGACAACAGAGGGAATACAGACAGTCACTGTACCAAAAAGAATTGATTGACTAAAAAAAATTCAGGAAGTATCATATGAACAAGTGCCAATGGTAATAAAGATCAAAGCTTAAACTGTATTGAAGGCACTGGCAAAAAATAAGGACTCAAGAATCAACGGGATACTAAATGACATAATTCAACGGACAGATGCAGTCCAGGATGCATTCACCAGTATATACCAGGAAATTTGGAGGACAGCTGTCTGGCCAACAGACTGGAAGAAGTCCATATTTGTTCCCACTCCCAAGAAAGGTGGTCCAACAGAATGTGAAAACTATCAAACAATATCATTAATAACACATGCAAGCAAAATATTGCTGAAGATCATTCAAAAGTGGTTAGAATTGGGGAGGGGGAATTAATAATGAGGTTGTACAATTTGATGGGTAGGGAGTGAGGGAAATTGAAAGAATCTGGTCTGGAAAACAAAGTATTCTAATTTTGCAAATAAATTAGTATAACAATAATAATAATAAAGTGGCTAGAACAGCAGGTAGATAGGGAACTGCCAGAAGTCCAAGCAGGATTTAGACTAAGAGACTGTGACACTAGGGATATTTGAGGCTCTGGCACCAGGGATATCATTGCTGATGTCAGATAGATGGAAAGAATACCAAAAGAACATCTATTTATGCTTTATTGACTATACAAAAGCATGGACCATAACAAGTTATGGCTAACACTGAGAAG